TCCAAGATAACCTCTGCTTTTTGTTGGCCAAGTTCAAATGACACGCCGGTTTGATTGTGAAGTTTTCCAGTACATCTTGGGAAGCCTCGTAAACCCACAGGGAGATTCTAGCCCCCCTTCACAAGCGTCAAGATAGTTGTTGAGACAGTGAGCTCGGCCGCTGTTCGCTACGCTGAAGTTGGGGTTCGGCCTCCCCCCCTCCCACCCCGACGCCCAAAAACCAAAGTCGCAAGAGGAGGCAATGGCGGAGGAGACCCAACCCAAAGGCCGCTTCATCTGCTTCGTCGGCAACCTCCCTTACACGGCCACGGCGGACTCCCTCACCGCCCACTTCGCCGCTCTCCAGCCCACCTCTGTCCGTCTCCTCACCGAGCGCGACGACCCCAAAAAGTCGCGCGGGATCGCCTTTGTCGAGTTTGACCGCTTCGACAGGATGAAGACGTGCCTGGAGAAGTTTCACCACACCGAGTTTGAGGGGAGGAAGATTAATGTTGAGTTGACGTATGTTCCCCCTTATCCCCTTTCCCCCTGATGGATGTTTCTGCTGACAAGTTATACGCAAATAATTAGTGCCGGCGGCGGAGGCAAAACCCCCCAACGCCTCGACAAGATCAAGGAGAAGAACGCCAAGCTCAACGAGGAGCGCCGCAGCAGGATGAAGAAGGTGGAGGTCGAAAAGGCCGAGAAGGAAAAGGCAAAGGCTGCTGGCGGTGCTGAGGAGAAGCCTGCTGAGGAGAAGCCTGCTGAGGAGGAGGACGACCAAGCTGGTATCCACCCTTCCCGCCGGGCGCAGGTCGGGGTCGAGTTCAACGAAGATGAGGAGGACAATTTCGGGTATAGCAATGGTGGTGGTGGCAGGGGTAGGAGGGGTGGTGGTGGTAGAGGCGGTGGTGGTAGGGGGAGAGGTGGTGGTAGAGGTAGAGGTGGGAGAGGTGGCGGCGGTGGGAGGAATCAAAAGAAGTGGTAGATCATTTCCACTGCTGGCTTGAGAGGGGGGAAAATATAGGAGAAAATGGATTGGTAAAAAAAAATGGGAAAAGGGAGTGGATACAGGTTTCACACCTGGGCTTCTCTTTGCTGTTAGGTAGATATAATGTGGTTCTGGCTGGTTGGTTGGACAGTGGTGTTCTAAGCAAAAGTTGGAGTACGCTTATGATACCCCTTTTGTTTTCTGGCTGAAAAAGTTGCAGAAATAGAAGAGTGTAGGGCTCAGAGAGAAGAGAGAGAAGAATGGAGAGTTCGTGTCGTCAACCATCTAGGGTGTATCGGTCTTTTTTGAACACGGTGATAAGCTGAGAGAGCCAAGTGAATTCGGATCATCGTGCGGCACCACGGGAAGCCAGTATACGAGACACTAAATTGTCATCAGCATACAAATACAAACAGACACCGCATTTCACATCAAAGCAGTTTCAAGATGTCTTCTTTCGCACGTTCATCAAATTCTCCCCTCCTCCCACCTCAACCCCAAACTACGTTCCCCTCCCCTCCCCACTCCTCCTCCCTCCCCAACCCAGCTATCTACGGGAAATAATAAATAAAAAGAAACGAGAAGCAACGGAAAGAGCCCTAGTAACAACCCCTACAGTATTGACGGTTGGGTAGGATCACCAACGTGTGGAGGAAACACAAAAACGTGAGAGTTCGTTGAGAGCGACATGTGCCTGATTACTCGACACTCTTGTATACCCCCAATACAATATCTGCGGCCATAAAGCCAGAAAAAGGTTGATTCAAACAGCCTAGGTATTTTTGTACCTTGCATGACTGCCTTCATCCCTTCTTCCGTCTAGTCAAGCCTCAAATCTTGCAGGGTATCCCATACTAAAGGTACGGTTTAACCCCCGAACTACACGTCATACTTCATCCACACGCGAAGCCACCCCGGAAAAGGTTTGAAGGAGGTGTTATTGGGGTTGTACTATGGAGGTTGAAGCCAAATAGCAGGCGCAGGCATATGTCGTCGGGTATAGATGGTGTGTGTGTGTGTGTGTGTGTGTGTGTGTGTGTGATTGTATGGTTTGCATTACGGAAAACAATCGTTCGTCGTCGTAGCGATTAGCAAGAAGCACTTCCTTTTTGCTTTTTTTTTCGAATTGAAGACGAGAAAACAAGGTTATTAGAGGAGCGTGCACTTGGACGACTTCTTCTTCGTCTGAGGAGCGGCCTTGGGCTCAATGACGGCTCTGAGGTGGCTGAGTTAGTCTCTGATCTGAGGTGTTTCAGTGGGTAAAAAGATGAATTGCTTACCTGATGGCATAGTCAAAGACGGTCTTGAGACCCATCTGTGTCAAGGCAGAGCATTCGGCGTACTTGTAAGCTCCAATCTCCTTGGCAAGGGCCAATCCCATGGGGTAGGTAATAGGCGACCACCGCTTCTCGGCCATTGTCTTGAGCGTATTAGGGTCATCTCTGGCGTCCAGCTTGGTGCCAACCAGCACAATGGGAATATTGGGAGCGTGATGTCCGATTTCGGGCCACCACTATAGAACGCGTCAGAATATGCGAATGATCAGAACTTGCTCGATAAGGAGGTCCATACCTTGGCCTTCACGTTGTCAAACGAAGGAGGGCTGACGAGGGAGAAGCAGATGAGGAAAACATCGGTCTGGGGGTATGAGAGAGGCCGCAGTCTGTCGTAATCTTCTTGACCGGCCGTATCCCACAACCCCAAGCTGATGGGCCTTCCATCAACAGTCACGCTCGCAGAGTAGTTGTCGAATACCGTGGGGATGTATTCGCCGGGGAAAGCATTTGTTGTGTAGGAGATGAGCAGACATGTCTACCCCACGTCGGTCAGTCAAAAAGTCAGAAGAGCCAAGGAGAGAATACATAACGGGCATCCTTACCTTGCCGACGGCACCATCACCTGTGACGACGCACTATACACGAAGAAATGAAACAATTAGCCTTGCGTTCTCCTCGACGCGAATCTTCATGACGCGAATAGGAGGTTGGGATTGGAACTGGCGGTGTCGGCGCCGGGCTGGCGTTGTTGACGAACCTTGATCGACTGGACGGGCGGAGTGGCCATGGTTGAGAGATATTTGGCTTCTCGTGTGAATTAGTGTCGCTGCTGGAAGGCTGAAAACAAAAAAAAAAAACAAAAAAATAACAACAGTATCGGGCCTCGAAGGTGATGCAGTGATGCACTCGGTGCAATCGAATTCGAAGGGCGGCGGAAGGATGCGGGAGCAGGGTTGCAACGAGTGAGCAAGCGGAGCAGAAGGGCGACAAGAATTGCCCTGCGCTGGATATGAGTTGGCAGATGTGTTTGGACGTAGTTCGGACCACGGTTCTGGATATGGATGATTCTCGACTGCGAAAGGGCAGAAACGGCACCTAGAGGAATCAGAAAAGGTTTTGACACAGGGCCGGAACGGTTTGGTGCCGGGAAAGGAGGTGTGGGATTCGAATTCGGGCGCGCAATGGGGGAGTTGGGACGTTGGGACGCTGGCGGTCCGGGCAGAACAGGCCGGGCGAGTCGAGATAAAGAGCCAGCGGCACTGTGTGGGAGCCTTCGGCAAGGTACTGTCCACCCACTCCAGCAGGACAACAGCTCCCCCTGCGCTGTCGTTTGACTGGCTGGCTCCAAACCTGCAGAACACGGCTCCACCATCGTCGCCCCCGGCGTACCATCGTCTTGGCGGCACATGTCCTGTCTGGGCGGGTCGAGCTTCCACTGGGAATGGGCCCTGGCACTGGGCCACCAGGAGAGGGAGTTTTTCCTCTGACACTTTCGGCGTCAACCGCCCTTGACCAGGCGAGACATGTGAGGGGCAAGCTCCAGAGGTCGGCGCGACGATCACAGGACCGAGCACGACTCTGTTCCGACACGCGATTCGCCTCCAGGGCAACAAGTGTGCCGACGCCATCCCCGCGTAGGTGCCCGCCTCTAGGAGAGCTGCTGTGCTGCTCGGCGCCGAATAGTGCTGTGCAGGGGGAACAATAGGACGACGGGATAGGTTAGAGGGATGACATACCGGATAGTGGCTCAGGAGCTTTTACCTTATCGGATCGCTGTTCTCCAGGTATAGCGATGGCTCCTAAGGTGAGGTGAGGTGTGGTGAGTATCAAATAGCCGCACTGTGTCGCAATTTTGGTGTAGCTAACGTAGGACTCCTATCCCCCGCGAGGTTCAAGGAGTTATCCGTGCAGTGGTTTTCGACTCTTCGAAACGTTTGGCGATGCGTCCTTTGCGGGCCGTGCAAGCTTGCGTCGACTTGGCAGAAATATCTTGCTTTCAATCGTGGGTGGTTGGCAAATCAACCGGAGTTCATCTTTCAACAGTTAAACGCCAGGGGCAGCACGGCTGGTTCTATCTAACAACCTGTCAAGAGGTATGTCTTCAAAGTCGGTATAAGCGACCAAGCTGAAAGCAGCCTCTATGGGCCTCGCCCACCAAGACGTTGTTGCACCACACAGCAATCCGTCTCGAGCGGCACGGTGACCGTCCTCGAACCTGCCCGGCCTCTGATCGCCCGGCCGCCGTCCTGATACAAGAATACCTAGTCATCGTTTCGGGACTAGGACAGCATGGTGGCTCTTCCACAACATCGAGTACACCACCGGATTTATTAACTGCTCAACGGCTTGAATCCCGCGCCCGGATGCATAACGTGGGTACACGAGAGTGGGGTATGATGGAAAAAGTCATCGTATCAATATACATCTATCAGATGGTGTGAATCTTGCTGCACTGTATACCAGTGTTTATTTACTTCGTCGAGCGATTTCGAAAGTTTCAACAGTCATGGACCGAGACGGCGGGTCTGTGGTTCACTGATCGACAGAACTGAGATCATATCTAAGCCTCCACGTTCCCCCGCGGGGTTGGGCTTGTGGAGGTATGTCAGCGGGCATATACGTTGTTGACAGAGGTTGGACCATTTTCCCAGGTGATGGTGCGAGCACTGCGGGTGAACAACAACGAGCCGAGATCAGGACTTCAGGCACTGGTGCGTCTTGACGCACGTATGTAACGGGAGGCTTTGGAGGTTTGGATATGGAGGAGGGCCAAGCGTCGGGGCCATGGCGGAAACACTGCTCTCCTGATTCGTCTGGCTATGTTCGTTTCTGTGACAATCCCTGACAACGCCGCGGGATGGGGCCAAAGCTCACAGTGAGCGATGGACACCATCAACTGTCCTGCCAGTCGGGAAATCCGATGGCCCTCTGTCAGGGCTAGCTATCAGCGTAAGGGCCCAGGTGGTTGACCTTTCTGCTGATACTCTGGTTGCTGACCAACGCGTATAGCATTCCCCTCTGGCTGTTGAAAGCGCCTTACCAACGGCGGCGAAGTCATCGCGGGCCGCAAGTGGCTAACTTGACGCAACGACCGGCTAGGAACATGTCCAAGAGCGAGTCAGACGAGACACCAAGGAAGTGAACAAAAATCTTCCCGAGTCTCATCCATCTGACGTTGGATTGAGATGTTGACTCTGGTTTAGACAGGGCTGTGAACATCTTAATTGTTGCGTGGGGTGAACGCTTGGCACCAAGTCGGTGGTTCAAAGTGGATATCCAGAGGCCTATCAATCGCTTATCGTAGCTCCACAATCAGCTTGTGGGGGTGTGTTATGCGCATCTTGGAAGTTCGTCGCGTCACCCGGGAACAGCTACAACAACCACACGCGTCGATAATGTAGTTGATCTGAGAGAGTAGACGAGGAGCGCCAAATACCATGCTTGTCTGATATCTTGAGATGGGAAAATAAAACAGCAATCACGGTTTCCCCGTTTTCATAACCCACCCGATCTGCACCATGGCCCGCGAAAGTCGTCCACTGGACGCAACACCAAGAGCCGCATCCGCAGACCCTGTATCCAACTTCCGCCGCTCCCTCCTCCTCCAAACCCCCGGCAGCCAGCGCCGTCCACAAGGCCTGTCCGCCTCCGGAAGGAAAAACGCCCCTCCAACCGCAACCCCCCACGCTCGCGCCGCCTTCCGAACCATCGACTCCCGCCGGGCAGCAATCTTCACCCCCCACCGCGCCCGCCGGAAATCAGTGCGCGAAGCCCGAGACTCCCCCCGCGACCTCCTCCTCGGCCTTGGAAGGGTCCTCGCCAAAAAGACAGAGCCGATAGTGACGTCCTCCTCCTCTCCCGGCGACACCCCCAACCATAACCCTTCCGACGATGACGACTCCCACGAGACCACCCTTGGCCCATTGCACATGAGCTACGATGATGACGACGAAGCAGATATTCCCAAGAGACCACGGCTGTCACTGCCGATCGACAGGGACGACGACAGCGGTAGCGACGATCTCGTCCCCCATCGGTCGATGCTCCTGGACAATGAGGACAACTTCACCATGCAGTCGGTTGAGATGCCGCGTAGGGCGTATAGCGAGGGACCTGGGGGCAGACTGTCCTTGAACAGCACGAGGATGAGCGACTTTTTCAATGCGAATGATATGCTGCATAGTGAGGATTTTGGAAGGGAGTCGGGCATGTTTCCGCCGATCAATGTTGTGGAGGAGGAGGGTACTTTTACTATGGCAGATATCATGTCTCCTGAACGGTAGCTACATCCCCCTTATGGAAAACATTGAGATCGGATTCTGACAAGTTTATACAGAATAGAAGACGGCCGTCGAGAAACCGGCCACGAAAGCGACTTCGGCATCCATGTCCCCGTCGATCTAGACGACCAAACCTCCTTTGTAATCAACCCCGATGTGCAATCCTCCCCCGTCCGTCAACCCCCCGACTTCGACGAGCCAGACTTTGCCCCATTGGAAGATGCCCGAAGTGACAGCTACGACGGTGGTGATGGTATGGACAACCACAACTTTGACGACTTCGGAGACCTCCCAGATGCGGAAATGGACGACGAAGAACCTGACAATACCCTCAACGAAACAACCCGCATGACCGCTGGCAACGTAACAGAAACAGAAGTTTTGACCCATGCTCAAAGAGCCGAACTACGCGCTGCTGCGGCGGCAAGAAAAAAGCGCATCAACATCTCCAAGCACGGGATCCAGTACCCTTCCCTTCCAGCGGGTGTGGTTAAACGGCTGGCGCAAAACTTCGCCAAGACGAGCGGAGCCAAGGGGAGGATCACCCCAGACGCCATGAACGCCATCATGCAGGCTTCCGAGTGGTTCTTTGAGCAGCTGGGGGAGGATCTGGAGGCGTATTCCAAACATGCTGGGCGGAATACTATTAATGAGAGTGATGTCATTACCCTGATGAGAAGGTACGTCTTTTCTTTTGTTCTTATTGTACAATCTATGTGTATGTGACGGGGTATCTTTGTATATCAAAAATGTTTTTGGTTGTACATGTGTTTTCTTTTCTTTTCTTTTTCTTTTTTGGTTGCTGACAAGGCTCCTCTCTTAGGCAGCGTCAAATCAACCCACAGACTACGCCTTTTGCTCTTGCGTCACGGCATTTACCACGAGAGTTATTACAGGATCTTCGGATGCCACCGCCTGTCCTATCCAAAAAGCGTCGCAAGGCAAGCGAAGGGGCAGTTCCGGCTGGCGAAGAAGATGAATCCGTGACGTGAGAGGCCTGTATGCCGCCATTGGACCTTGTGAGATTGTTGTTTTACCAGTTCTTGTTCATGCGAACACGACGGGTGATATCCTTTGGTGGCTTCTTGACTACCAGCCAGAACATTATCGATGTGGCCAGAGAGAGGCCATACCTGAGGATATTGTTAGATAAAAGTGCTCATAACGCATTCGAGCACACTGAGGAGGCCGCGTCGCCAAGGCAGTTACGCATAGACTGACCGCCGCGGCATCGAAAGACAGGAGAGGGGCTATATACATACCAGGTGAAGATGTACTGCGCATGGTTGTTGCGCAGGTTGACCTCGGCAGGTCGCCCGATGGGTACACCCTTTTGTTCATACTCCAGAGTAGTGAAATAGTCAGGGTCTGTAGACACACACATATCAGAGTTAGCAAAACCATAGCTAGCTCCCCAACCCAATATATCCCAGATCAAGACTTAAAACCTACTCATAGTCTGCTCAACCCAGACAGGCTGACTCCCAGTCAACTCGGCCATCTGCTTCACATCAGGGAAGTAAAACTCCCCCTTATCCGGCCTGTTCTCAGGAGTGAACATATTCTTCTTCCACGGCTCCCTCAACAACCCCTCCACCGTCACCTCCCCACTGGGTAACCCCTCGGGTCTCAGTTTCTGGTCCTGATGTTTTTTGGAAATCCACCCTCGGTTCACGAGAATAGTAGCACCAGGATCGTCCTTTCGTTCCAGGGGGGTAACGACAATGTATCCTTGCTCGCCGTCGCGCATGCGAGGGCCGATGAGCATTTCCTGATCGTGTCGGTAGTGGCCCGTCACAAGAACGCGGCGGAAGTCAAAGTCGGAGATTGCCGAGGGGTCGATGCGGGGTGGGAGGGGGAGAGGGGGGCGGACGATGCGGTCCTCGCATTTGGCGATCAGGTCTGTCTTCCAGGAGAGGCGCTTCACTTGCCAGGTGCCGAGGAAGAATGCTGTTATGGGGATGATGGCTAGGATGATGAGGCCGGGGCCGTGGCGTTTTCCCGTGCGGACGAGCTCGGGGGGGTTGTCGACTATGGATTGGAAGCCGGGGTCGTCGGCCGGTTGGCGGGGGGGGTCACCATGGCGGCGGGGAGGGGAGGTGGTGAACTTTCTTGGTGTTGATGGCTTGAGTGTGGAGGTGGGTTGAGGCCATTGTGGGCGGGGGAGGGGTGTCCTTGACCTTTGAAGGGACCGGAGCAGGGTGGGAAGTATCCTTCCCGACGTCATTGTCATCCCTGATATATGCCCCCTTATTTTGAAGCAAAAAAGGGGATTTCCAGAAGTGGGATGTTTATTGAGATGGGATTTTTAGTTTCCAGTTTTCCCCAGACCACTGGCCGGCTGAGAGAAACGGATTCGCGCGTCATAATTCGGGGAAGCTCAGGACCCCGTTTGTGTGACTTGATTGGCTGCCCTGTTTGGAGCAGCTGGGTGCCCCGCAAGCAGCGTAATCTTACAGGGGGTAGTCTGGGACCGATGTGGCTTGCCGCTGTCGTGGACAACGTGAACACATGGGCCAGCCATTCATCAATTCCATCCCTTTTGTAAAACGGCGAACCTCTCATCAATTCTATTAGGAACTTGCTCCAGGTTTTGCTTTCAAACGTGTTTTCGGTGAAGATCTGCGGTTTACAGTATCTCATCTTGCCTCGACTGTCTTGTACATTCGTCTCTGGACCCCTACCGCCATCCAATCGACACGTTGACACTGCCCCATCGGCCAACTACATATCGCGGGGGTTGCTGTTTACAATGGCTTTCTTTCAGGGCTCTCTCCAGGAGGGGATCGGCGCGGCGTTGCAGCAGTCCAGGTCTGTTGTCTGTTTTGTAACCGGTATGTCATTGGTATTATTCCAGATCTGGTCTCAAGTTGCTGACCTTATCATAGATGAGCAAGATGAAAGTCAAACATGGGAGAATGGGTATCTCAAGGAAGAAGAGGTGTGTTTTGGCGAACAATGCTTTTGGAAGCTCGTTTACTGACCGGACACTTATCAGATCGTGGAATTGTTGAAGTCCACTTCCGTGACACTTCGTTTGGTGGCCGGATCACAAGAGGAAGGCTTCCTCGCTCAGCTCTACCCATTGCCCAAGAAACCAACACTAGTGGTAATCAAGTAAGTGTTGGGTGCTGAGCGTACATTGAGGCATTCCTAACCAGGCTATCAGAAGCGGACAACTCAAAGAGTACATTGCTGCCGGTGTGCCCAAGGAACTATTCATAGAAAGACTTCGCAAGGCCCTCGCTCCTGTTGAAGCTCCTCCACCACCGCCAACCCAGCCCGAGCCCGTTGCTTCCCCAAACGTTCCACCAGCAGCCCCCGTCGCGACTACCGCTTCCCAACCCGTCACAGCTTCACAACCAGCTCCCATCACAGAGTCCAACGCCAGCAGCTCAGGCCAAGCAACCCCGCCCACCTCCAACGAACAATCCCACGCCCAATCCCTAGCAGCCCAAACCGTGGCCAGAATAGAACGCATGAAGAAGGCCGAAGCCGAAGCCAAAAAACGCCGCGAAGAAGAAGCCAAACGCCGCCGCGAAGAGAAGGGCAAAGCTGTCGAAGACCCAACCAAACCTCCCACCGCTCACAACGCCTACGCCGAAGCCCTCAAGAAGAAGCAAAAGGAAGCCAGGGAAGAACGCCAGCGAATCCTCAAACAAATCGAGGACGACAAAGCCGAGAGAAAAGCCCGCCAGGAAGCTCTCGAAGCTGAGAGGAAAGCCGCGGCGGAGGCTTCCACTGTCCCTCTTGCCCCCGCCAGCCAGCTTCTCCCGAGAACGAACAGAGTCTCTTCCCACGCCGCGATCCAAGTCAGGCTATTCGACGGGTCTACCCTCCGCAGCCGGTTCTCTAGCACGGATACTTTGAAAGATGTTCGGCAATTCGTGACAGAAAATCGAAAAGACGGGAAAGAACCCTTCAACTTCAAGATTTTGCTCACGCCGCTGCCTAGTAAGACGGTCGATGTGACAGAGGAGGAGAAGACGTTGCAGGAGCTGGAGCTGACACCCTCGGCAACATTGATTTTGCTCCCGGTGCCAAAGTACTCGTCTGCTTACTCTCGCAGTAGCGGTAGCTCGGCCGCTTCGACGACTTCGGCAGGGGAAAGGGGGGGTATCTTCCAGCGGTTCATCGGATTCATTCTGTTCGTTGCCAGTTTGATAGGCGGCTTTTTCTCGACGCTGTTTAGTACTTCTGGTCCTGTGGGTGGTGAGCAGGAGTCGGATGGGGATGACACGCCTAGGCAGCAGAGTCCGAATCGTGGGGGACGACAAGGGCAAGCAGCAGGAGGTGATCGTCGTATAGGCGGGCTGGAGAGTGTGAGGAGGAGGGGTGAGCAGCAGTTTTATAACGGGAATTCGGTAAGTTGACTTTGACATGCAAACTTCAAGGGAGAATACGTTTACCAACATAGATCACAGACGAACTTTGAACCGAGACCGGATGAGGAAGAGTAGGAGTTTGATATTTTGTTTTGGCAACCAATAGGATTTTGACTTGGTTTAATGGTGTCCAGGGGTAGGGGGGGTTTAGGTAGTTGATCAGTTCAACCGAATGGATTCTTGCTGCTGTTTTTTTGCTCAACCTCAAGAAAAGCGCAAAAATCCAAATCACAGGGGTATTAATTTGTTGTTGTTGTCCAAGACAGGCTGATGTTTGCGCCGCCGAGTGGTAGTTGGTTATAATGTACAAGTGAGTTGTGAGATGACTGGCTCTCGCATGTGGGCTGTCAAACTTGTTGAACTTGTTGTAAAGACAAGTCTTCCACCTTGAACGCTACCGCACCATCTCACAAAACTCAACAATCCTCCCCTTCAAAGCTTGTAACGATCGTAGTTTTTCAACCATCAAAGCCCCTCTCTCTCATCCCTTGACTCCCCAGCACCAAGACCAAAAACTTAGTACTGAGAAGCAGCCTGCTGGCAAGCCTTAAGCTGCTCGAGGTACCACCCGCAAATCTGCATGTTCCCCTGGTTGTCATCCATGCACTTTGTGAACTGGGTCGTCGCGCCCTTGCAGTTGTCGCCCCAGGTCTGGTTTTGCTGGCTGGCGGCCGAGTTGGCCTGGTCGACGGGGTCGGCAGCGGCAGCGGAGGAGCCGCCGCCGAAGAGGGAGGAGATGCCGCCTCCGATTACGTGGCCTACGGAAGAGCCGATGGCGACACCACTGGACATACTGTTAGTATCACGGATGTCAAAGGAGGGGAGGGGGAAGAGGGGGAGCATACGCAGCAGTAGAAGCCATCTGCGCCATCAACCCTGGGCCCTGAGAGGTAGGGGCACCAGCGGTGGGAGCAGCGGCATTAGGGGCACCAGTTTGGGGACCGGCGTAGGTGGTTGCTGGGCGGGTTTGCTGCTGCTGGGTTGGGGCGGGGGCAGAGCGAGCGGGAACGGTAGGGCGCGCGGGGGCGCGAGCGGGACCACGGGATTGGCGAGGCATTTTGGTTTTTGGTTTGGAAGGAGGGGTGATTCAACGGGTGAATGTGTATGCGTGGTTTGTGGTGTTGAGGTGGTGAGGTTTGAGGTTGAGAGGCGGCAGTTCGGATCGTCGGTATAAAGTCTAGATGAACGCGCCGGGCGGCCACGAGGACGGTATGGGATTTTGCCATTGGCCACTCAGAGGCGGCGCTGAGCCTAGAAGCCAATAGAATGTTAAGGATTTGTTGGTCCCTGCCGGTGGCGGGGCAAAGAAGAAGGCCGGGGGTTAGGGTTTAGATCGCTGTGCTGGTATTACGGAGGATTAAAAGAGAGATATATGATTTGAATGCACGTATTTGGTCTTGGTCAAGACCTGATATGTAGTCTATTACGGCCGTCCACACCCCTAATCCCTCCGCCAACTTGAAGCTTCAATGCTCCATCTCTTAACCAAATAATCAGAATGGACGCGCAGCTGACCCAACTTCCGTGGATTGCCGTTGGGTATCTTGTGTTGTGTGACTTGAACGGGTGTGAGGCTCCAGAAATTGCCTCGCTATGCCTCATGACCCAAGTTTTTCACGATGAGACTCACGCTGAGGCTGTGTCACCTCGATGCTCATGGTCCGCCGTAGAAGTGCTTGGGGGCAAGCTCTGATTTTGCTGTCCACTTGGACTTAGCAGTATGTTGATGTTGAACCCCTTGGGTAGCATTCATTTCTTCTTCTTGGATCCATCACGCTTCGGCCGTTTGGCAATCTTGTTCCCAGCTTCTTCAGGACGAACTTCTGATGTTGAGTCCTCTGCAGGCCGCTTCTTTTCCGCAGCAGCCGTGGCGGCTTTGGCTTCGGCCTTCGCTTTTTCTTTGGCAATCAGCTCCGTCAGCTTGTTCTTGATGTCCTTGTTGTCGGCCTATGAAGCGTGTTAGTCATGGTCGGTACTTATAAGTAGTGGACATGAAAACGCCGAGCATACCAAATCATTCCTGACAAAGCGAGCCACCGCCTCGGTGTTGACCGTGTTTTCACGCTCTTCTGGGGGTGACTCGAGTTTCTGGATCTTCTCAAAGTACTGCCTGACGCGGGTTAACTCTGTGAAAACGGGGTGGCTTTTTGCATCCGTTCCATTTAGGCGCAACGACGCTGAGGTGAATGTCAGTAAGTGACCGGTGAAGTCTCAAGTATGGTAGGTGTATCTTACAAAATATGAGTGATTCAATCGCATAACACACCAAGACATAAAGCTTGGCCTTGTCGAGAAGTGGCATCTTGGACGAAATATCGCCGACATCACTCAAAAGTGGTTGAAGTACTTCTTGGAGTGTGTTGAGGTCCAGCTCCAGCTGTTCCAACTCTGGTGTCACGTCGCTGACGTCCATCGTGGATGCGATTCGGGTGAGCTTAACACGAAAACTACTAATGTCTGTCTGTATTAGATCGAGACTTGAGCTCAATAAGTTGTCGAGCGTGGTTTGATGAATGAAGTCGTCGAAGTTAGATGTACCGTCTGTTTTTGCTGGAAGGCGTCGTTTGAAAGTGATCCACACTGCAAAAATATCGACAGGGGTGTTTGTTTGTTCTCGGCCCAAGCCGCTGGGAGTTGGTGTGGGGAAGGCTAAAACGGCGTGCCTGGCATCGCTTATCTTTATCAGCGCCTTTATGCACTGCAGTCTGCAGCTGAAACCAGCGTGGGGCACAGCTCGATAAGCCGCTGGCCGCTCATCTAGGAGATCCAACAGGGCAGTCAACCATCTGATAAATCCATTCATAAGTGATGATATCATGTATCAAAAGCTACCTTCTTCCTCTCGTAACTTGATATTTTCACACGGCGTGATTATACAAAACTAACCTTGGTTTGGCTTATTCACATTCCAGAGATTACACAAACTCTTTCTAGGTCTTTTTCTTACCACACTCTCACTGTTCCACGAGCCAGCACACTGAAGGACACTCAAACTTCAATTCCCAACGACAACCTGGAGCGTATGTTGTCGTCTCCAGATCGACAACACCCCACCTTCTGAAAAGTCACTTGCTCGGATCATTCAACTTCAATAGAGCACATTTACAGGCAACTACCTAACGAAACTCCAAAACATGGGCGACCGCCGGCGCCCGGGTGCCACGACCGGTGCCGGGTCCGCAGCCGGAGTTCACATTCAAATCCAGGAGCCCCCTGAACGGCGGCCCTTGCTCCCTCATCGCGCCACCTTCCCACACCGGACCGACGAGCAGGTCTTCAGTTGCTTCAGCTATAACACAAGCACTCCCAAGCACCTTCCCGTTTATAACAACATTCATCGAATCAGACGCGACATCATCTCAGTAGTGGAAGACTATCTCAGTCTCGATCAGCTCCGTGATGTGCGCATCAACATCAGCGTTATCCGGCCTTTGGTGGACAAGCTCTACGAACAGGACGATATCTCCATCGTCTACTGTTTATTGGTCAACAGAGCCCAGTTTCTGAACGAACAGAAACATCTCAGCAACAGACAAAATGTCAACTCAACACGCGCCATGCTGTGCGAGCTCATTGCCACCCGTATTCTCAGACGGTTCAATGAGGACAATGACGGGCCAGATAACCTGCTTGTTCTGGCGCACATCTTGATTGCTGGGTTTGAGCCATTTCAAAATGCCCCCGAAGAGATCAGGAGGGAGGTGCAGGCTAGTACAGCATGGCATAAGACGCTTCCGGCTTTGGAAGTGGCTATCCTAAGCGAGGCCAGAGTATTTCTTGCCAGTACTAGTTGCCAAAAAGTGTCAGTCTCTCCCATCTGTCAAGGTCAGAGAAACTGTGCTGACTGAAATCAGGGTTGATGCCATCTATGACGGCCGCGTGATTTACACGCCTTCGAGTTACATGGACTTGATTGCAGACAGATACAAACAGCGTCCTATCTCCTTGTACAATCCCCGAGAAGCACCATTATTGAACCAGTATCGTCTTTTGGTTCCACGGACCAGAAATTACCTCGAGATTATGCAGTTCTTTATTTTGTTGGCGTTATACGTTGTGTTTATGGCCGAGAGAGATCCCACACAGTTCAGCAAGCTCGAGATCTGTTTTACGGTGTACGCCATGGGATGGGTTCTGGATCAGTTTGCCACCTTACTAGAGCACGGATGGTATGTCTAGACCGAGTCTATTGCTACTTTGTCAGTGTCCTGGCTGACAGTCTAATCCAGGCACGTATACGCCCAAAATCTTTGGTCGTTTCTCGACGTCGGTTTTGCCTTCATTTACTGGATCTACGTGTTCCTCCGCATATATGGCTGGAAGACTGGAAATGCCGAAGCTGATCAGCAAGCTCTTGACGTCCTTGCCATGGGGGCACCGGTCCTTGTGCCGCGGTTGGCGTTCAACCTTCTCTCTGACAATATTGTATTCTTATGTCTACGGTCCATGATGTCTGACTTTGCGCTGGTGACTGCGTTGGCCATTTGGTGCTTTTTCGGGTTCTTACTGTCGCTTATGTGGCTCGGAAACGACGCATACTCGCCTTTGTAAGTAACTACATACCTAGATCCCAACCTGCCGCTAGCTAACCATTCTCCAGTGTCATCAGCAAGTGGATGATATACATCTGGTTTGGACTGGACGGATCAGGGATCCATCACTCGGTTTGTTGTCTTCGTCTTGGTCAGTTGTCACGGTACTAACAACAGACCAGATTGAGTTTCACAAGATATTGGGACCAGCTCTTATGGTAGCTTTCGCTTTCTTGGGCAACACCCTCTTCCTCACCATCCTCGTATCGATGCTCTCGACCACATTTGGCACCATCGTCACCAACGCCCCAGCCGAGATTCAGTTCCGCCGGGCCGTACTTACCCTTGAGGGTGTCAAAGGCGATGCCATTTTCGCCTATCAACCACCATTTAACCTCATCGCCATCTTCATCCTCGTACCTTTGAAATTCCTCGCCTCGCCGAGATGGTTCCACAAAATCCACGTCGCGAGTGTCCGTCTGCTCAACCTCCCCCTCCTCCTGTTCATCGCCGTCGCCGAGCGTAGAGCACTCTGGCCCGGTACCCCAGGAGGTCCACCTACCCAACTCACATCTTTCGTCAAAGCCCAAAAGAAGTCCGGGCTTCACTTCTGGGAAAAATGGAGAATCACCTCCCATAGCGATATCTCGACTGTGTTCGAAGTACCACCACCGGAGTCGGTCCTCGAACAAATAACCACCGATGACGACCTAACGCGGCACTTGATCCGGAGGCAGTTCGCCAGAGGAAACAGCCACATAGACTCAGTGGCATCAGAAGCGAGGAAGCAAGCTGCCCAGACGGCGGCGGCAACGACGGCTGTGGCAACGGCTGCGGGAGGTGCGGCGCCGGGAGGCCCCAAACCTTTGAGCAGACGTGATAGCATCGCGCCGTTTCCTGGGTTGAGAGCAGAGCTCCAGGAGGTGCTTAGTGAGAGTGATGAAATGAGCAATATTACCGCAAGGTTGGAGGCGTTGGAGGAGAGCACGCAGAGGATAGAGGAGTTGTTGGAGAGGTTAGTTGGTGTGAAGCAGGGGAAGAGCCCGAGGATAGAGCAAGAGGATGATGGTGTTTCAGAAGCGGGATCGCCGTCTGGGTCGAGGAAAGAGTCGGTTGCGGTTTCGTCAGAGCATGATCCTGGCGAGAGTCCATGGATATAAAAGTACTACCCATTGCGTGTTGAAAGACTTATGGAAGCATGGCGTTGGAGCTATGGGAATATGGTTATGTATTGGGTAGTAGATTAGAGGCTTGGTGGCAGCGTTGTCTTTAGGGTTAGTTTATCATATCAAGATGAGTGAATAACTTGTCCGATTCATCTGATCCTCTGCATTTACACTTCCATTTTGTCTAAGCAGGAGGAGCAAACAGGCAACAACTGCACCCCAAGACTATTGCCTGTGTCACAACGCGCTTCTGACACTTCTCAGTTGCCGACTGACATACTCCTCTCTTTTACACTCATGACATCTGGCCAAGCAGCCCACAACTCCAAACTATATCACTTGTCCTCTTTACAGCAGTGTACAGCTACCACCCTCGCCACACATTGACAAAACACTGAGAAAGAAAATGTGCCAAACAGGCCACTATAAAGACTTCCACTGCCACCACCCTGGGCAGTCGTCACGGTCTCTTGTCACCCAGGCTACAGCTTCGACAACTGCCCCTATCTGTTCAATAGATAGGCAAAGCCATATCCGCAGATAGTAGTGGCGCAGGGGCATCTATATCCCACCTGGTAGGTCTTCCCTACAACGAGGAACAGTTAGGAAGTATGAGGTAATTTGCTGACGATATCGTGGGTGAAATTAGCGACCTTAAGGGACAGTACGATAGAAATTACACGAGAATGCTGGTGAAGAATCGGCATGGATTTCGCTGGGGGTTGGGGCCGAGTAGGCAGGACCGGGGGAGGGATTTTACTTGTGTTATTCGTGAAATATATTGGCATCATCTAAGAGGGACAGCGGAAGGCAAAGATGATATCGGTTGATATTTTGTACATTTTCTCTTCTTCATACAGACTCATGACATATAATAGGTAGAGCCCATCCTTGGTGCGGCCTTCTACATGTTCAAGGCACGTAGTTCAACTTTGGGAAAACCAACGACGCTATCACCGATGGCATGTCTCCTGTTTTTGCTTGCATTTTGTGAAATCTTATTGACCTGGTGCTGCTCATGTGAGAAGTATGATCAAGAAACTCATACTTGTCTCATGCTCATCACGTGCCCCACCCGCTGAAAAGTCCTTGTCAAAATTCCCGCTTGGTGCTCACTCTTTTCACACACATCAACCACTTACCAAATCCGGCCCAAAAGCGAAGCTATCCACAACTAGCTTCTTCTCTTTCTTTCTCAGCCAAGCACGGAAACACCAGACCGCCCCCCACAGCAATAACCCCGTACCTATCAACACACATCTTACACACACACCATCAAAATGCTCCCCACCCCCTCCACCTCCCACGTCCCCTACACCCTTGTCTACGAACCAGCAGAAGACTCCTTCCTCCTCCTCGACACCCTCTCCTCCCCCACCTCCCTCACTTTCCACACCTCCCACTTTCCCCCCTCATCCCCCACCCCTCTAGTCCTCGAAATCGGTCCCGGCTCCGGCGTGGTCCTGGCCTTCCTCACCGCCCACGCCAACCACATCTTCTCCCGCCCCGACATCCTAACCCTCGGCATCGACATCAACTCCTTCGCCTGCGCCTCCACTGCCAAAACCGTCTCCCTCGCCTCCCAAGACCACCCCACAACATCAGGGGAATTTCTCTCCGCCGTCCAAGGCGATCTCACTTCTTGCTTGAGAGGGAGACAAGTCGACGTCCTGGTCTTCAACCCCCCTTATGTTCCCACTGAAGATTTACCAGCCCTGCCTGAGAGGCTGAGGGAAAAGAAGGAGGGCAAAGTGACGTTTGAGGAGGAGTCTAAACTCTTGGAGCTGTCTTATGCAGGTGGGAAAGACGGGATGGAGACGACGGATAGGGTTATCGACAGTTTGGGGGATGTCCTCAGCGAGCGGGGGGTCGCCTACTTGCTGTTGTGTGCGGGGAATAAGCCCGAGGCGGTGAAGCAAAGGATTAGGGAGATGGACAATGCTGGGGAGGGAAGACGGTGGAAGGCGGAGACAGTAGGAACGAGTGGACGGCAGGCGGGGTGGGAGAAGTTGCAGATTGTGAGGATATGGAGGGAGTGAGATGTTGAGGTTTGTGAAATCAGGAAATGGATGGGTTGCTCTTGAAAGCGTACTGCTGTGGATAAGAGTCGAAAAAAATACGGGAGGTTGAATTCTTAACATATCGTCATATGCCATGATCAATATATGGCATATATGTGTTTGATCGTATGGCAAATATATATGAGTCCGAGTATTGAGGTGTCATTGTTAACGGGTCCGTCCTACCCTCGGTGAGTAAGAACACTATGAATACAGGCCGTTTTGTCGCCTCCCCCATATATCAGAAAATCAAGAACGTACCCCTTGGCAGTCTTTTGCAGTATCAAATCATCCATCCAGTAACGCCAAATTCAGAATTCCCTGCCGCTTTTCAGGTCTCCGCTATGTTTTGTTGATGGTCAAAACGCAAAGAGTGCTGACGCACATATGTTGTGTGATCTCTCGTATCTCCTCGTCCTCCTCCGGTGGATTTGTGCGCGCCTAGTCGAGCTGCTTCTGCCTGTCGCCATCGAATCGCCCATACGTTGCCGATGAAAAGCGCAGGTAGGGACACCTTGGGCGCATCGTTTGGCAGCACCCCAACCAGCGGCCAGGTGCGTAGTCCAACCTGTTGTCCCCAAGTTTACCAGCTTAACCCCTTCCTCTGCCACGGCCACCGCGACCGCCTCTTCCTCCACGCATACCACGGCCACCGCGACCGCCTCCTCTGGCACCACCACGATCCACCTCCTTGCGGGCCTTGTTCTTGGGCTTGGAAGAGTCGTCGATCAAGAGCGAGTCGAGGGGAAGCGAATCGGGGAGGATGTAATCTTTCGAGCTTGATGTTAGTAATTTGTCCTTTGAATTTTGTATTGGACCGCCAACTACTCACAACGAATGGTGCTTCCGCGCTACAGAACCGGAACAGTCAGTGGCTTGTTCTTTGACGGCGTTTTGATTTCTAGAGCAATACGTACAACATTAAGAGTCTCCAGCTGAATCGTTTCTTGCCCGCGAGGCGTCATCTTGACATTTCGGAGCGCCGTGTTCATTTGTGGGGAGACGGAGGCGATAGTTCCAGAGATGATGGTGCCGCTATATACCTTCCCTATTAGCCTTCCGCTGACAGTATTCCTTGTAAGAGATTATTTTGTCGTACCCCTTCAGTTCAATCGTCACCGACTCGTTCTGGCATTTCATAAGAAATCTGGCGGCGAGAGTAATCGTTAGCTTTGGGCATTGCGCAAGGCTACTGCTGGCTGGAGGGCCTATGCGTACCTGACGAGCTTCATCTTGGCGGTCTCTAAGTAATATCGAAGTATTAAGATAGAGGGCTCGTGGAAAGCTTGAGGGCTGGTTTTCGCCGTTGTGTATCGTCTTGTTGGATCGCAATCGTTGGTCTTGCTGGAGATGGTGAACAGTGGAGCTCTCAAGGTTGATGGCAGCGCGACGCGAAATTTGGAGCACGGGGCCGTGCACGTGCCCCCATTCCGGGTTAGGGTTGTTTGCAGTGCTGTCAACTGCTTTACCAACACTGCTCTATTAAGGAGTACTATCTCCTGCCGTTCCACATCATATGCTTTTGAATTCTCCTCCAGTATGCATTGATGTATAGCCAAAATAGGCCCTGAAGCTACCATGGGTAATGTAGTAAGCGCAGATCTAGACTAAGATGAGAGACCACCCCCAGACCAAACTTCGACTATGTACAACTACTTCTCGCTATGCGCCTTGATTGGTGTTTCTCTAAGCTGGTTTAGCTTATGGTACATAGGTGGCTCGCACATTTATTTCTCCTTCTCGTTCTCATTCTCAGAGACCTTCTCCCATTCATCCTCAGTGCTGACGCCGCTTTTAAGTCCCTGGCTAGATCCTGGCTCCTCCGCTGGTACCCTCAGCTTCAACTCGCCCTGGTTTTCTGCTGGCTCGACAACGGTGCTGACCGCCGCTGCTTCCGGTGTTGGCTTCTTCCCTTTGCCTAAGCTCGCCGTTGACTTCGATGCCTCCACCTCGGTCTCGCTGTCGTCGAAGGATGTTGGGATCTGAGCCGCCTTGGCCTTTCGCGCCTTCTCTTCCTCCTGTATTTGATGAATGATCAACTCGCCCGCGAACCAATTGATAGACATCCACAGGCCGGCACAGATACCCGAGAGGATAATAAAGTGAATACTGTATGTGGCAAGCAACATGGCGGCCAACACCACCTGCAGGGCGGCAAAGGTGACATTCGTGGCTACAAGGAGCGTTGGCGTCGGTCCTGGGGTGAAGATGGACTCCCAAAGGTTCTGGAAAAACGAGGCCATGATTATGGGTTCGGATTTGTCGACTGGAGTTGGAAAGGTATGATGTTGAGGTCTTGATGTTTTGCGCAGGGACCGGCTAGCGTGGGTGGTCTACAGGCGGGGTTTCGATGTCGTCGCAAATACTGGCAGTTGTTACAGAAGACTGAGTACAGGATTGTCAGCAATCAAGCAGTGGGTAAAGTGACATTTAATAATGAGACGGCCTGCCGAAGCCCAGCCCCGAAAGAGTGTCCAAAACCTGGCAGTAGCAGCCTGGCAATCGTCGCATGCCACGGTGGCAGGAACGGCCAAAGAGGCCACATACATACAGTGATCTCGAAGAGAGGAACAGCTGATCTGTCACTTCGGGTCCCAAGACAGCGCGTCGAGTCGCGGGGTGATGCAGAATGTGGTTGTGGTTGGGCAGAGATGACGAACCGCGACGACGCCGTTCAAGGGACAGAAAACTGAAAGCCGTAGTCCACAGCCGTGCCAAGCGTCCACACTCACTGGAGCAACGGTTTTCCACAAGCACCGAGAAAGAGCGGGGACAAACAGGAACAACACAACCAAGAGGCAAAGAAAGGGCATCAAAGACCAGGAGGACTGAGCAATTAATACTGGGCGCAGATGTCCATAAACTGAAAACGCTTCGGGCGCCGTTGTCGAGCGCTGTGCTGCTCTACAGCGGCAATAAAATCAATGTGACGGCGGGATTGCGCATGCAAGGAGGGGTCCTCTGGCGTCAGCGATGGCTTCCATCTATGGACTTCCACCTTCCGCATCGGCATCAACCGGCGAGGGCTGCATCTGAAAATAGCCTTCTCCCGTCGAACAATTCCTCTCTGGCTTGGGTCACACTCTAAATCCAACATCGGGCACGCGAAAGCTGATCAGGCAGAACAAACCACTGACCTCAGCACGAGGGGCATGCGGACATGGTGGGGTTGAGTTCAAGTGACAAGCCGAGCCAAGACAAACCGGGCCAACGCCAGAGAACATGTGCCGACCAGGATGTGTAAGAGCGCCAAGACGTGTATTCGTGGTGTATGCTGTGCACAGTACAGCGTAGAGAGCCCCGAGGTGAAGAGGGCCCCAGAGACTGAAAGCATCCGCCGTAGGGTTCAGTGTTCAGATTTGATCTTCTTCAGGAATGTCACAAATTCCATTATCAGCTGGCCAGTCACCCACATTCCAAGCCATTCGAGTTCGAGAACGGCTCAAGTGGAAATCTGGGGTTGGAAGCGCTATTCCCAATTTGGCCTTGTTTGCCGTCTAGACCAGCTTGGCTTGGCCGCTGCTCCGCTCGTGCCCGTTGCCCTGTGCGCTCGGGAGCGGGCGGATCTCTCCACACAGGGATACCGTACACATTCACCCGCCCACGACAACACTGTATTGATACGTTCGCGTCGAGAACGGGCACTTTGACACGCCTCCTGCCATCGTTTGAATCATCAGTCCATCATCGTCGTCCCTCCTGAGTTGTTACTTTAAGTAATAGGCGCCATCAGCAGCATCAAAGCTTGTATTAGTGCACCGGGCCATTCAAGCTTCCCGAAACTCAATTACAAACGGCGCATAGAAAGCCAGGCCCCAGCCAGTCCCATCGACAACGCGAGCCACCGATACACTCGTCGGGAAATATTTGTGTTTCCGTTCAGTCAACTTCACAACTTCGGGCTGCTGGCGGGGCATCTCCAAACGAGAGGATACCAGTAGGGGTATCCTGCCGGGCGATGAGAGTTGCTCGCTTGGCCTGAAGGAGGCTTCGTCAGCCATGGACACCCCAATCGAAGCACCCAGCGGAACACCTCAAGGAAACTCTACTCAAGTTGTTACCGACTACATTAGAGAGAAGGACCAAGAGCGCAATGTTACCCCCAGACAGGATAGACCCCTCACCTTGCTCGAACTTCCAGTCGATATTTTGCAGCTGATCGTTAAGGAGGTATCTTTGTTCCTATCAAGCCTTCATGCGAGTGCCGTACTGACATGATGCCCTCCAGATCACTCATACAAACGATCTGACAGCACTTGCCTTGACGAACTCGGCTCTACACGGCCTTGCTACACCTCTGATATACTCACGGTTCGACATTGTTTGGCCAGATGGACACATCACGGCAACAGAATCCAAGAGCGTGGACGCCTTGACCTACGGACTCAAGACGCTGTGTCTTGGAAGCGCTTTTGCTCGCACCATGCGCAGAGCAATTCCACGAAATATGCGTCAACTTGCTAAGTTCAAGGGTAACGAGTATGCACAATACATCAAGAAGTTCTCGCTGGGCAACGGGCCGGCCGACTGGGTTGCTGAGTACATGATCAGTAAAGAGAGTGGAACAATGCTTGGGACCATGGTGGCACTCGCGATCGCCAAAATGAAAAACCTCGAGACGTTCATATGGGACATGCCCACCGGTGTGCTGTCCGACATCTTCATGGCGCTGGCATCCTTGGCTGAGCAGCCCGACAGAGACTGTAAGCTCAGCAGGGTCTGGGTCCGCTGGCATGACAACTCGGAGCAGTCCGGCAACTCTGCTTCTCAGAACGGAAATCCAGTGGCGGGTACAACTGCACTTGTTCCCCAAGGGAGCCATGTCACAGCTGTGGGAATAATGCTTCCAGAAAACGCCGCCCACCCTTCACCTCGGCCTCCAGTCTCTTACGCGAATTACCACTGCGAATACCCAACTTTTAGCGTCTTGCCTCCACTCACGAGCTTGACCGTGCTGGACATTGACGAAGTGGCCTACCTGGACGAGATGGCCATACTTATAGAGCGCTCCAAGGATACGCTTCAAGAACTCCGCGTGGGTATCTCAGCAAATGCGGTAAACAAGGACTTTGCTCAGGCTTGGGATGGGCCTGGCTTACGACAAGTAGACCACAAAGCCCAGTTTCCAGGAGGCAGCACAATTGGCGAGAGGCGTCTAGGGGGCGTTATCGGTGTCCTGGTTGGGAAGATCTACGACATCAGGCAACACCGCTCTTTAAGAGGCAAGATGAAGCTCGTAGCCGTTGCTGGTTCTGCCACAGAGAACAACGCTTCGCCAACCACACCAGTCTCGACAGCCTCCTCACAGTCACCATTAACTGGGAACTCCTCACCCAATAGCGCTTCCGGGCCATCGCAGACTCAGCAGTCCGAAGACGATACTGCTGCGGACAAAGGACAGCCGAATGCCTCTGACAAGAAGAAAGATGGGTTGAAAGGTGGCAGGGGTAGTAAGCCGACAGCTGTCCCTAACAAGGTTCTGGACGGCAAACTCAAACTACAGACCCTTGAGCTCGAGCGAGTGACACTATCACTGCATGTCTGCAGGCAGGCGTTAGATTGGACGGTGTTGACAAATCTGACGCTCCTCGACTGTGCCCAGCACGAGAACCTATGGAAGATGCTACGCAAGAATTTTCAGCCGACATCTCTCAACAACGGAATCAGCCTTTCTCCCAACGGGTCCGGGATGGCAGCATCAAACGCACCCTTGCAGTACCATCTCGCCCTCAAGTCTATTCATACAGACGCTACTACCTTGGCTCTGGTCAACTTCATCAGAGAGACCCTTGCGCCTAACACCCTTGAAGTCTTGTTCTTGCAAGATCGCAGACGAAGTTCCAGCCCCCCAATTCCGCTGGCTGAAATCTTCAAAGGTTGTCTGAGAAGACATCCACAAAGCCTGCGGAAACTCCTGCTGGATAGCTCTGCCAAACCCCCTGCCAACCCCAATGCTGCTAATAACGACAACACCAGATGGAGGAGTTGGGCTCTAAGTACGGAGGTTGTACAGTACCTCACCAGCGGACGCATGGTCAATCTGAGGGAATTGGCCGTGTCGTTGGAATACAAGGACTGGGTAAGCAAATTACTCTGTCTTTACCTTAAAAGGGACCAAGCTAACAGACTATATAGCACACCTTCCTACAACGGCTCTTCAACCTTCAGCAGCTGCGTTCTCTTAACATTGCTCACGTGGCAGACTACCCAGGCGGGAAACTCGAACCGCGAGAGCTCGCCCATCAGATTGCAGACATTATTACCCTGAGACTCGAAATTCGGCTTTGCTACGTTGGTATCGGTAGTAAATGCTTTGAAATGCTTGAATCCCGCGAGACAGGTTCATCAAGCGCAGCAGACTCCAGTGGTGGAACAACCACGCCGGATATTTCGGCTCCTCCAGCAACAGTGAATCCCTTCACTGGGCAGATGAACGGCATATTTTCCAATAATGGCTTCAACAACATCAACGCCGGTGCAACGTCAGCCAATGGGGTTGATTTGGGGGATGCGGAGGATACATCGGAAGACGAGAATGACCACCAGTCGGACAACTCGGATGAGCAGTCTGAGAATGACGAAGACGAAGGGGAGCTCGAGGAAGAAGATGAAGACGACGACAACACTCCTACCACGGCGACTAGCGATCCCGAGGAGACACAAAGTGAGGATGACGGGGATGAGGATGATGATCAGACCACAGGGACTGGGATAGGAGGCACCACGGCTGGGACGAACATCAATAACGCCAACAACAACAACAACAACAACAACAACAACAACAACAACAACAACAACAACAATAACAACAATAACAACAGTGCGGACTTGGTCGATGAGTATGACGACGGCTGGGTCGAGCCAGGGGCTGATTCGGTGAAGCTACGGCTGAGGGAGATCTTGTTCTATGATGACAAGGTTGCTATCTTCAAGGCTAGGCATGGAAAGTTGTAGGAGTCCAGCTGTAGCCAGGAGACTCTGCAGGCAAGTTGGAGGTGGGACACGTTCTTGTAATGGCGGCGGGTGATGCGGCGTGACGCGAGACCCTGCGAACCATAGCGTTGTCTTCTAGCTTTACTTTTATTATCTCTACCGGTTTGTGGTTTATGCCAGGAGACTTTTGGTATGGTGGTTGGCAAATGGGCGGGATTCGAACCCAAAAGGAAACAATTGAAGCGACATTGATTTGGCATGGATGCAGTGGGAAAGCGAGGATATCAAGCGGGTTTTCTTTTCTTTGCTTGTTGTAGTTTCTGTTGGTTGCTTTTACTTTTGCTACTTGCGGTGGACTTTTGTCTTGGAAGGTCGAGCATTGCTATGCATAGCATTTGCTTTGGTTGAAGAGAAGGCGAGTTATCGAGCGCATGGTTTTCTTTCATTGTTTCTTTACGTTGTTGGACCCTTTGCGTTCATTCCTTTGTGCTTCTTGCTGCTGTTGTCATGTCAGTTTCAACATTTAGGAGGGAGGGGGGGGGTGATAGGGCTTGTTGGAGGTAGTTTAAAACAGGGTAGTCGGGATCTCTGAAGACGTAAGAAGAAGAGGAAACGCAAGTTTTATTATGAGCACACGCACATCCAGAATTTTCGAGCACTTTTATTTCCATGATGGTCTTCCGATGCGATGAAACTGGGTGATGATATCTGCCGCTCTGGGTACCTATCGAATCAGATCAGGCCGTACTATGCGTCAAAGCTCATCGCAAAGAACAGGAACAAGAAGCTACCTATTGAGCAGCGGTCATCAAATGTTGACGAAATGCCATTGCAGATGCCACCACGATGCTATATCCATGCACGTGCGCTGTTTTGTGGCCGTAAGCGGTTTGCACAAGGTCCAACATTCCGGTGTCAGGCGTGTGTGATGCGGTTGGGATCGGTAAGTTGTGTGGAAGATAAATTTCCAGTGCACCATCTTCCGGTCGCTTCCGCCAGTCTTATATTCCTCCATGTTCTCATCCAGTTTGCTTGGGAGAAATGTTGCGCATCCTTGCCCTTTGTAGTTATCAATCTGATCGCATTCAGGATCAGGGTCCATCTGATGCAGGAACCTTAACAAAAGCTGGGACGACACCAATGCGCTGTGCAGTGGCATGTGTATCGGTCACTCCTATCCAACCAGAGTGAGCATGACATATTGAAAGCAGTTTGACAGGTACAACCATTCTGCGACCAAGACCTTGACAAGACCTCTGCAGCCATATCGTATCACTGCGGGGTTGTCAGACTGGAGATTGCAGGGTGCCCAGTGACACCTGGTTTGGCTATCAACCTCACCAAACACTCTCCCAGCATTGATGCCAAGCAAATGTCGGGCGTCAGTGTGGAATGCTGCGAAGAGGCTTCCCATGAGACACTGGCCGCACTCGGCGGACTCTGAGCGTTATGAGACATTTCTCAGATAAACCGGCGGGTTGGGGTTGTCAGGTTAGTTGTCTTCGTCTTCCACTTCCTCAAGCGTCACCCCATGAGGAACCTTGCTTGGGGCAGATTGCTGGGTGTCAGGCGCCCGAAGGTAGCCTTCCCGTTCCAATTGATCAGCTTCTTCAGGCTCGAGGAGGCCGCCTTGTCCCTTGCCCTTTTCAATCTTCATACGCACATGTGTGGGAACGAATGCGCTGACCGCCTCCTTCCGCAAGTCTCTCACCACCGGCTTGGCCTCGTACACTGTCTTGGACTCCACAACTGGTGCTGGCGTGGCAGAATTTTCTGACTGAGCCCTTTCTGCCACTGGCTCCTGGTTTGCGTTTCGTTTGGCCCGACGCTTGGCGTACCATTCGTCCATGATCTCTTTGGGGATAGGCGGCGGTGTGTCTCGCGGCATAGGTATTCTTCTCACGTCCTCGGGAACATCACTGTCGTCACTCGACTCGTCCTCGTCTCTTCTCCGCTTCCCAAGTACTCCGTCGTTTCTCTGGCCTGGCTTTGACGGACCCCCACGACCAAACTGGGGCGCTCGGTCTCCGAGAGCTTCACGAGCTTTCTTGACTGCCTTCAAGTCCTTCTCCAACGCCTCGAGTGATTGCTCTTCGAGAGCGGTAAGCTTCCCGCCGCCTTCTTTTATAGCCTTAAGATCGTTGATTTGCTGTTCTATTCTGGCCGGATTCCTCTGGGCGAGCTTCTCGTTTCTTCTTGCTTGCTGCTCTGCTTTGCCTGTGGACGCGCAGCATGTTAGTCATCGGCCTCAGCACAGTCATTGGGAAGAGAAAACCCACCTTTCTTGACAGCCTTGGCCTTGTCAGCCTTGTGCTGGGCCTGTACTGGGTTGTACTTCTTTTCTTTTGCCATGCTGCAAGTCCGCTGCTGAACTCAGGGGCCCGCGTGTTCTCGATATTGTCCAGGTTGCCCTGTTGACGTGCCGATGTAGTGATAGCTGAGTTTAGAATCTCGTTCCTTTTCAACAGCTGCTTCGGTGATCGATATGTGAGATTGCGAAGGGATGGTGCGCGAGAGTGGCTGGCTGAAGATTCTCCAATCCAACTTGCAGTGACGCGACCTAGCGGCTGGACTTAGCGGTGCCAAGACATGAAAGCACAGACCACACCCCGCCATCTGGCCAGCGGTTTGAGCACTCGCAGGAGCCGTTACCCCTCCAACAATTGTTGACGCAGTCCCTCTGGCGCAAGCTGCCCAATCAGTGCGGGAGAGAACGAGTTGGGTCGTCATCGTCATAATTTAAGCTTGTCTCCATCTACGCGCGACTGCTTGGTCTCCTGCGTGGAGGCACACACCAGAGACGCTTGACATCATCTTCCGGTCTTCTCCTGAGCTTTGTTTTGTACCGGCATCCCATCTCTTAACCCCTACTGCTGGAACAGACAACGGACAGGCCGCAGGGTAGTCGACAGACATCAGCATACCTTACTATCAGGTTATTTATCGACTTGCAGAGACAAGGTCAAGCCATCGCATCTCCACACATCGCTTCGGCGCACCCCTGACACCGCCATGGCGAGCTTCATGGCCAATCTATTCCCCGGTGGGAAACAGGACAATCGCCCCTCCACACCGATCAAAACCAACTTCACAACCCCAGTCAGCACTCCACAGGGCAGCCCCAGCAAGCGAACAGTACCTCCCGGCGCCCATGATCTTCCTACCGCCGCCTTTGATGGTCTCAAGCTCGCAGCACCGCCCGGCATGGGCATCCTCGACAGTCCCGTCAAGCTGGGTCGCCCACAAAGCGTTGCGGCCCCATTATCTCCTGGCAAGAGCAACGTGCAGCATTTCGAGGAGGGGCCATCGGCCGTTGAGCATAGTCTTGTCCACAAGAACGCCACGCAGGGTGGCAGTCCCCTGAGAAGCCACATGCAAGAAAACACACCACCCATCTCGCTGCGCGACCCTTTCCAAGAGCCGACATATCAGCCAAGTCATGCCGCCCTCTCTCGTCAAGAGCTCTACCAGCCACGAGAGCGAGAGAGACCGCAAGGGACTGTCAAGAAGTTCAACACGACACGGGGTCTCACCGCCGAGGAGCGGGAGATCTTGTCAAAGCCAAACGTTAAGCGCTTGGTCAATGTCACTCAGTTGTGTGAGTCTAGTTTCAGCACTCATGATGAGCATCCCTGCTGATACATACGACGGATAGACTTCCTCGATTACTACTTTGATCTCCTGACCTATGTCGGTCAAAGACAGAACCGCCTCAGTGCATTCAAGGCGGAATATCCCGAGCCGCCCGAGACCGACCCAGAGACGTACAAGCAAATGTGGTCAAAGTACGCCGGTCGAGAACGCGCCAATCTCCGCAAGAGGCGAGTCCGGTTGAGGCAAGGTGATTTCCAGATTCTCACCCAAGTTGGCCAGGGCGGTTACGGTCAAGTCTTCCTCGCGCAAAAGAAGGATACCAAGGAGGTGTGCGCGCTCAAGGTGATGAGCAAAAAGCTGCTGTTCAAGCTCGACGAGATTAGACATGTCTTGACGGAAAGAGACATTCTGACAACGGCCAAGAGCGAGTGGCTGGTCCGCCTGCTGTACTCGTTCCAGGATGACAAGAATATCTATCTTGCCATGGAATACGTACCAGGCGGTGACTTCCGGACGCTTCTCAACAACACTGGGGTGTTGTCCAACAGGCATGCACGGTTCTACATCGCGGAAATGTTCTGCTCGGTTGATGCCTTGCACCAGCTGGGCTACATTCATCGCGATCTCAAGCCGGAAAACTTCCTGGTCGACTCCACCGGCCATGTGAAGCTCACTGATTTTGGCCTGGCGGCCGGTTTCCTCGCACCCGCTAAGATCGAGTCGATGAGGATCCGGCTGGAGAAGGCGTCCGAGACGTCGGTTCCGTTCGGTAAGCCAATGGACCAGCGTACGGTGGCAGAGCGTCGGGAGGGATATCGGTCCATGAGGGACAAGGATGTGAACTACGCCAAGTCGATTGTCGGCTCGCCAGATTACATGGCTCCCGAGGTGCTCAGGGGAGAGGAGTATGACTTTACGGTTGATTACTGGAGTTTGGGGTGCATGTTGTTTGAGGCGTTGACGGGGTTCCCCCCGTTTGCCGGCAGCAACGCGGATGAGACGTGGAGGAATCTGAAGCACTGGCGGGACGTGCTGAAGAGGCCGGTGTGGGAAGATCCGAGCTACTTTTTGAGCAACCGGACATGGAACTTTATCACAACGTGAGTACCACCCACCATAAAGGCAACGTTGTCGGGGATCAGAAAACTGACACAGTTCGAAGTTGCATCAACTCCCGATCCAAGCGCTTCTCCAATATCAAGGATATCCAGAACCACCCCTACTTTGCCGAAGTGGACTGGGAAATACTCAGAGAGACCAAGGCGCCGTTCGTCCCCGAGCTCGACTCCGAGACGGACGCCGGCTACTTTGACGACTTTTCCAACGAGGCAGATATGGCCAAGTACAAGGAAGTGCACGACAAGCAGCAGGCACTTGAGGGCATGGCCGACAGGGATGATGAGATGAGCAAGAGCTTGTTTGTCGGGTTTACCTTCCGGCACCGCAAGCCGGCGAATGAGGATGGCAGCAGCCCAAGAAAGAAGATTCCGTTTGAGGAGGACGCGGCCCCTTCTTTTGGCACCATGCTGTAGGCTCAGCAGAGGAGGTCCAAGGGGGCGCATTTGCAGTCCTCGCCTGGGAAGCCGAGGGACTGGATGAAGGAGCTGAGGGTGGCACAGGAAGAGGTGGAGAGGAGAAGGAGGGAGTTTAAGTTGATGTGAGGGAGGTTCTGTTCAATCATATTTGTGCTTGTATTTGATTACCTTACTAGCCTTGAGTACTTGGTTTAGTGTTTGCATTGCTTTTCGAGGGCCGCGGCGTCGTTGATGCGTTTTCACAGGGAAGGGGATAGATGGCGGGAAGGCAAGGCAAGAAAGGCAAGCAGGATAATTGTGTTAGTTTACCGTAGTATGAACTTGTACTTTTGTAGAACAACAGGTTGTGGGTATGTCAGCAAAGCAAGGGGAATATCTCATGCCTTGGTGACAAGTGACAAGTAACAGTATCACACCACATTGTCGTCGTCAGCCTGGATGTAAACGGTTGGCCAATCCAACACCGGGATCTAATCTTGAGATGTGATCTCCACTCTGGGCCCAGTTTGATGGAATCGATAACTTATTCTAATCCCTGAGGGCGATCATGTTTGTCACGATGGCTTGGCATTTGTAACAGATTCAGGGCACCCTCGCAGCCCTAAAGATGGAGATTTTGGGTATGAAAAGGAAAAAAAAGATATCCACCAAAGACGTCATTGGATGGAAAGAGCCAGGGGGAAAAAGGTAAATAAAGAATTAAGTGACGACGCTTCAAGGTGGTGGGTGGAAGTTGAGATGGAACTAGCCGGCCGGTGTGTTTTGGGACTGACACTGGCCCCGACAACGCTCTTGGATTTGGCATCTGGCATGCGCAGCCGACACATGCGAGCTCTCTCTAGCATGTCGTCCATCACAGACAGACGTGCTGCTGCTCACATGTAGCTACACGGCAGGCAGTGGCAGGTAGCAAGACCGACGCCCAATCGCTTCTGACTTTTGGCTTTGCTCCCCGAAAACAGTACGAATGCATTCCCCACCCCAGCCCTGCCGCCTTACCTCTCGGTCCCGAGAGTGATTTTCAGGATTTCTTTCAAGGATCTGGAGCTGAATAGATGAGATGGTATTCGAGAAGGAAAGGCTCAACACGCTCGGTGTTTTTCGGCCCGGTCCCGCTGATGTATTGCGTGGCCGTCTTGGCGGTACGAGATCGGGGCATTCTTTTGGTAGAGCCGCAAGCAGGACAACATTCCCATAGGGTTGCTATTTTCAACCACAGGTATCTAGTTAATGTAGGTGCCGTACACGGCAAAGAAAAGGTATGGATTGCCAAATGGACGCGCGGCATATCAGTCCCAGTGGCGTCTCTAGTCTCGAACACGGCAGTTGGACGATGTTGTTGCTCAACAGGAACCCAACAGCCAGATGCCTGACGACAATCCGAGCTTTTTTTCTTTCATTCTTGCTCTGATCATCCCAACTCAACTTTGCTCGGTCGAGGAGCTAGCGACCTCGGGGCTAAAGCCAGACCTGCAGCGTCCGTCATAGCTCGGCGCCCATAGCCTTCCGTTGTCGTCTTAACGTTGGGCAGACCGAAAGATTGGACTGCTTGGACTTAGCACTAGTTGGTCCGCTTGAAGATCCCGCACCTCCACCTCTGCCGTCTGCCGTATCGCCCGGGTGAGATATGTTATTTGTTGTTTTCTCCTTGTATCAGCCTCACTGAGGTACTTGTCGATCGGTATGGTATAACGTAGGGGGTTATATAAAACCCCCCTCCCACCATCCCTTGTTTTCCTGTCTTGTGTTGTCTCATCCCAACCTCTTCACTTCTCTCCCCCACTTCCCACCTCCCACCTCACCTTGTTATCCTCCTCTCCTCCAACCTCATCGTCAACGCTACTGCTCTTTTATTGTCCCTTCCTTGACCATCAAAATGAGACCCTCAACCGTGACGGCCTTCCTTGCCCCGGCGGCCGCCAACGCCCAGTGGTACGGCGGTGCCCCCGAGTGCGCTGTAAGCCTCCCCTTCCAATTCTCCATCAACAATACCTCCAACTAACCTCCCCCCCCCCCCCAAAAAAAGCAATCCTGCATGTCCTCCCTCTGGGACGCAGACTCCACCTGGCCAGCACCAACCTCCTACTGCGCCGAGCCAACCCAGGCCGCCCCCTTGATCTCCTGCATCTCCTCCGCCTGCTCCGCCTCCCCCACGGCGGTAACCTCCTACTCCTCCCTCTCCGCCTCCCTCTGCGCCCAGTGGGCCTCCTGCTCCGCCGCCGGCTCCACCGGCGTCCTGACCGTCTCCGCTCCCGCCTTCACCGGCGCCTGGGGTTCCGGCCGCGGCTCCAACGCCTGGGGCGGGGACGGGGAGTGGACAAAGACCTGGGCTGGTGGTGTCTACACCGTTACCGGGTGCGAATGGAACGGCAATCCTTGGGCTGGCGGCCCGGGCGGCTGGGGACCGGGAGGCGAGGCGGGTGGTAGCCCTTGGGGTCCTTGGGGTAAGGGGTGGAAGTGGAGCACCGAGACTCAGACGGTGACGAGAGTGTTCACGGGGGTTGATAATGGAGTAACCAGCTTCAGCACCTCCATTGGGTTGGCGACGGTGGCGTTGGCGGTGAGCGGGGACAGCACCACTACGAGCTTTTTGGCGCAGGCGACGGGGAATGCCGCCGCGGAGGGGAGTAAGGTTGATAGCGGGGTCAGGATCATGGGTGCGGTTTTGGGTGGCGTGGTTGCTGTGGCTGGGTTGCTTTGAAAAGAAGATGACCTGTTTGCTGTGTTATCTTTCTTCTTGTGAAGATGCTCTAATTTCTTGGGTTAATATTGTTATGGGTGAGTGAACGAAGAGGGGTTGGAGGGTGGTTTCTGCTTGGAGAATTCGGCGGTTTCTTGTGTCGGTTGGTGATTGGGAAGACTGGACTAAGGAGGGGATCTCAAGCAGGTTATGGCAAGCAGATAATCAAGCCATTACTATTTGTAACGGATACCGATATACTGCCCTACGGGCTTGTTTTCTCAGAAATCGATACCGACAAGCCCGTCTTTGACTGGTCCCTTCGAGGTCTTCACCCATCGTCACACCAGAAGCTGTGTACTAGATCCGTTCGGTAGATCGTTCTGTGTTGTATAGGCCGTTCAGGGATCGCTTTGCTCCGTGGTGACCAGTATCAAGCCCTGGAAACTCATGATAAACATAAAGGCAACTTTGGGGTGTTGAGATAGTCATCAGCTCAGCCATTTTCAAGCTTTCCCAGGACCATGCCTCCAATGGTGTCCCTAGAGTCAACCGCCGAGTCGAATAAGCCTCCATCTTCTCCCAGATACCCTTCCCAGGCCCTCGCAGCTCGTCGAGGCGAAAGAGAAGCAAAAAGTCAACATAACGGGAGCGTAGAGCAGCCATTCAGCAGGGCAGGCCGAACTTATACCAGCCCAACGTGTTGGTCACCCCGTCCCAGCGTTGTAACCTTGTTACCACGTGGCATAGAAAGAAAAGATAGCGCCCCTTTTCCCGGGCCGTGAAGATGGAAGACGCGCCGTTGTATATGCAGTGTTCCATCCGAGACAGCAAGAAACGGGCGGCGTGTGTGACACGTGCCGCAACTCACCAAACTTGTTTGATGATCGTTTCCAAAGGCTCCGGGGCTGAGGAAAACTCGATGATGTGCGATAGCGCAATCCGCCTCGTCACCAAGGACCATCCCGACCGATAGCATCTGATAATGGCTGCCGGCTACCGTCTTGGCTTGGGAAGCCAACTTGGCAAAGCCGTCGAGCTTCTAGCTTGCCGAACAGTCTCGCTAGAGATTCAGTTCACCGAGTCCATGGAACCATCCTGATCAACATAATGTCTGGTCTGATTCGGGTCCAGCAGCCGGAAATGCAAGTCTCAGGACCCTGCCGGGCTCATACCTACGGCAGCACATATGGCACGGAGGGATGCCGGCATGATGTGCAGTGATTCTGTAGGTGTGGGCGAATAGCCGCGATAAGGTTAGCCATGTGAGCAGAAGCAACAGACTGGATGGTACCTGAACAGCAGGTGTGATTCGCAGTGCCTCGCCTCAGCTTGGAACGCCGGCTATCTCTGGGCCTACCAAAGGCGCCTAGATACCTGACAGTTAGGGCTGGTGCTCATGTTTGACGAGGATTGCGAATGGTCGCTCGCCAGATCTACAGACTCTCAGTGGACGGTCGGTGTGGTTTCCTATCACACACAGATAAGACGCGTGGAAGATCACCGGAAGGTCAGCAGAGCTTGCGGGCTATAAAGAAGACGAAACCCTCCCACTTCCAGGCCCGTAATCACCCAGGTATTCAGCCCGAGAAAACGGACGACCCTTGAGCTGCCAGCGAATCGGAGGCAGAGGACAATATGTCAATGACCATCATGATCGACGACGCTTCCTGTGATGAATGACAATTCCCACCCTTCCAGAGGCAGAGAACGAAGGCCAACATGACACCCACACCACTCCATCCAACAACCAGCTTCTGGATTCTGACGTTTTGAACTTCTACAGCCTCGCCCTTCGCATGAATCAACCCCCACGTCGATTCCGCGCTCGGGCGCAAGGTTGCGGGGTGAGACTCCATCCCCCGAAGCCCCCACGGGTTCACAGGGAGCTCATTGGCCAGGCCTACGTCGTTCTTAACCACCAGACCGCGTTCAATGGATTTAATCCCGCACGAAACACCAGTGTGTGAGTGATCGGAAGCGAAGGGGGTTGGGCGGCTGGACCATCCAACCGAAAGTCTCAATATTGGAAATGTTCCAATGCACCTAAAAGGCATTGGGCACATCGGTTGAGGAGCCCAGTTCCGCCCGGCAATACAGAGGACGAGGGGGGAAGATGGCTTGCCCGAGGGTTTCGGGTGGTCGGAAGCTCAGTTTCTCGGGAGTAACCTCAAACAGGAAAGGTCAGCAAGATTCTTGGCAACGACGGCGACAAGACAAGCTCCTCGGTGAGGGGCACGGTCTTTGGACGTTTGAGAGCACATATCCAACCACCGCCCAGCTTTCACATGTCATTGAAGGTGCTGGGTGGTACTGTAGGTGTGCAAAGTCATCAGCACCCATTACCGTCGTCATATCGCATCTGTGGTTTGTTTGACCGCAAAGTGGCTGTATGTAGCTCTTCAAGCTTGGCAAGGAAGCAGCGAGATCGGCCAACCACCACGACAGGTTGATTGGGTCGCATGTCTTCTCTTGATGTCTGCCCTCTTGGTACGAGGCCGGTTCCGGGGAGTGAGGGCTGGGTCACTTCTCTGGATGATGGAGGCGGCTGGAGACGACGACACCACCAATGTCATCACCACACCTCCCATACCAGGTCTGTGATTCGAGCTTCCGTAGGCATTGCCTTGTAGGGCCGTTTTCGTCGTTTCTTGGTGGTGGATTTCTGCGTATTCGGAAATATGGGTGGCTACAAAATGAGAGGTTTGTGCCGGTTGATGGCCTCGTCGGAACGCATTTCTGGGCGCTCTGGGCAGCCCCAACGGCTGCCCAGAGTGATGCTGTTAGCGTACGTGGGCGAAGGCGTCCGGTGCACGGAGGGGGTATTGGAGATCCACAGATCGGAAAATAAAGGAACAGAAAGAAGGCTAAACACCACGTTTGTTTTCTGTTGTGGCGGTCAGGGGAGGGGCTCTGCCCAGAGAGCTTGTCCCAAGCCCGGTTGCAGTCGGGTATCGTAGCGCCTCTCTTGCGTGTCGCCGTTGATCAGAGTCTCCAGCGGTCTCCATTGTCTCCAGCGCCCCAATGCTTCGAAGCACCTGCGTGACGTGCAGGACAGGTGGGCTTTGTGTGTGGAGATTCGGTCTGAATCTCCGCCGCCAGTGTGGACAGTTGTCAGGACACGTTGTTTTGGTTGGCGATGATGATGACATGAGGTTGATGGCGATAGGGACAACGATAGATCTGTTGCCGTCTGTGTCTGTGGTGTCGCCGAAAACGCAAATGGGAGACGGGCCGGCCAATGCTGGGTGGGATATCGCTTTCAGCAAGCAACCCTTGCCCACCGCTTCCGGGGGCTAGCCTCATGGCCCTCCATGCTCCAGAAGCTTGGACCGTATTGGGCATTGTGTCCGTCTGTCGTCATTGCAAGTGCGTTCTCGTCGATAGATTGGATCGGCAGATTGATGATGCGCTTTTCGAAGGTGGTGTTTGTAGGAGTATGGTGGTGTGAAATACTAGGTAGGTAGGTAGTTCATGCAGAAGGGTTACAAAAGTCGAGGTTTGGCTACCTCTGAGTTTGTAGTCTTCAAACAGGAACAAGACATACAACAGAGAGCATGTGAGCAATCGAGTCATCCTGATCAACACGGTTTTACCTGGCATGATAATGGTTTCCATTCTTACTCTGACATCCACTGACATCCAAGGTCTTACACGGAGCCGTTGACAGAAAAGGACGGCCCTGCCTCGGCTGTTGGCCCACCGTATGTTAAGGGTCCTGTGGACCGGTGGTCAAGGCCTACCTCAGAGTCCAGGGTAAGACGCACGGCACCAGTTTCAGCGTGTAACTCGTGGTGTTCTGTGAGGAAGAGGAATGATCTCTCTGCTTTGGAAGCAGTTTGTTTTGACCGCCTCGACAACATTGCTACCGCCAGGACCTACGAGTTTGAGCCGACCAGGGAGTCGACAGAAGGAAGCTGACGATGGCTTGTCGTCTGTTCCCGCCCGGTAGGTGTGGGGGTACCACCATGACGGGAATCCCCTCTAGACCCCTGTCAGGTACTCGGTACTTGCCCTCTGAATCCATTTCTGATCCTCGCTGTAACCCTGTTGGGAACCGTTCCCCATCACTTTCATTTCCTTCCTTTTGCCTTCTCAATATTACGATATTGTGTTTGCAATACAAACCTGCTGGGTATACCCTCCTTTCTCAGTCCACAAAGCCCATGCTCACCGCAACAGTGTAGACAGCATACCTAGAAGCCCTTCGCTGATGGAAGAGCAGCCAGACACTGCCACGATGGCCAGCGAGAAAGCATGCCGTTCTCCCACCTCCATCACCCCACGCAGGCAGGTTGAGACCCCTCACGCAGACGAGCAGTCTCACCACCAAAGCCACGCGTCTGGAAATGCCACACCCATTTCTACCCATCCTGTCCCGCGTTGCGGAGAGTGGAGTGGGTGGGTGGTGTCCAGGATAATCCGAACTGGGAATCATGACACCTGCACCTGACAGGACGCTGGAATGGGCTCTCCGCTTCAGAGGCTGCCCACTACAGCACGACGACACGCTCGGCGGCGAAGCTCAAAACTCATGCCACCCATCAATGGGGGACGACATGGACATCGCTCGTCTCACAGAGCCGAGCAGACCGATCGGCTTCACAAGATTTTCGGCAGCGTTCAAGCCGTACAGTGCACGAGCAGTGACATATTCTTGTCCAACTTGACCCTCTTACATGGCATCTGTCTCTTGTCACCATGGCTCTGTCTCGAAGCCCGCCGCCATGGGCTATTGCTGGGCCGTCCTGGTACACTACCCGGGGCATCCATGCGGTGTCGGCGTTGGCCAATAACCGGCATTTTTGTCCCAATAGGCCGTCTCCTATGCCCTGAGGAGAAGCTCTCCCCTTCCAGCCTTGGTGTGTTTGGCTCTCAATCACCCACGCTGTCATAGGCTCAGGTGAAGGTTTAGCAGACCGACTGCGTGCCAAGAAACCCCACACCAGCCCACTTGGATGCGTTCCGCCAAGAGGAGTGGGTTGCATTGCGGCCCATGAAGGTACCAGCGACTTCGGTCCGTTACTTGCAATCCCACCAGACTTTGTTCTGCGGCCACCAGTGCGGCTTCCGAGAAGACGCTCTCCGGCCCTGTTGACATGGACTGGTTTTATTCCATGTTTCCTTTATCCATCTGCGCAATCTGTTTCTCTTGAGCATGTCAGACCTGTCATAGACTGACCGAAAGGTGACCGTAGGGACTCGGCCTTTTCTTCCTCTTATGGCCCCATATTATCCGCCCGCAAAGGGGGTTCCCTGGCGAAGTGTGCGAGATCCCGCAGCTTCGAGACAAACAGAGAACGGAGACCCTGACCCCGTTGAGTGCAGGCCTGGCTTTGTCTCCTGTCGACCTGTTCAGGACCACTTCTATCCACCTGTCAACTCTGCACCTTGTAGTCCTCGGAGACTCAGCATTTTTGCGGGCTCTAGCAGTTTGAGAAGGAATAAGCTTTAAAGATGTCTTACCTTGCCACTCCGTTTTAACGGAAATGTGAACACGGAGGCACAATCCACAGTCCTGCAACGGCGAGACACCTCAGCAGGTAGGATTTGCCGTTGTATGCAGAACTTGGCTTCCTAGGGATTTGACTAGTGTGAGAATTAGCATGCTTGTCTGAGGAGCGAGAGGCCGGCGATCCATCTAGCGGTCCCACAGCGAGATGGCAGAACAAGATGACCCCCCGTCCCAACCAGGCTCCCGATTCTTGCACAGCGCGACGTGGGCGGGCGGCGCGCGGTGGATGGATGCCCAGCTGCTTGCAGTGGCCTGCTGCTCCCTATGAACAGGCAGTCCGCGCCGGCACCTATGGGCATGTCGACGGACCGGGGAGGGTGTGCTTGCACACGATCTCTCCACCTCCATGCTCCATTCCCACTCTCCTCTCCAGCTGCTCCTCCTCCTCCTCCTCCTCCTCCTCCTCCTCCTCCTCCTTCGTTTCCGTATAGTCCCGTCTCTGTGTGTGTTATTGCTGTGCTTGCAGTGGCCAGCATCCACCCATCCCCAACCCGGGACCTCGTCGAGACAATTCATATAATCTTTTTGTACTCAGGCGCGCCCTGTCACTCTGTCCCATCATTCTCTCCTCTCGCACCACTCCGGGCGGGGCCATTCATCAACACCACAACAACACCTGAAGGAAAAGCCGCCGAGGACCCTGCCGACTGCCAGGCCAAGTGCAGCAGCTCCCCCCTTCCTTGCTTCACCATCCTCCTTTTCCTCGTCGGTTTCTTCCTGAGCACAGGCCTATACATACGGAGCAAGTGTCACACGGAGCAAGTCATATTTTTTTTTATTTCTGCTTCTTTGTGTGCGTTCTTCGCAGACCTTTTTTCGAAGAGAAAAGCCACGAAGCTTTTGTTGCCGCAATCTCACATTTCGTCGACGCAGCGCAGTCCAGCGGGAGCAGCTGCTAAACTGGGCCGCTGCCCAGAATCCACCCCACAAAAGCCCCCCCTCCCCCCCCCCCCCCTCCCCCCAGGCACTTGCCCGCCTGCACGCACACAGAGAAGGCCTGTGCGGTTAGGTGGCTCTCACAAACGTGGGGAACCAGCCAAAAGCCAAAACGGCAGACTTGCGAACTTCTTTGCGCCAGGTTCCTATGGTATGCGATGATT